GTTTCGTTTGTCAAACTTTTTAGCGTAAAGGTAATTAGCAATCATGTTTTTGCATTCTTTCATAAAATAACCTGTTTTTTCATATTTGTAATATTTTAGATCATTTTTCTTTACTACATAATATTCTTGTTTTGCTGAGAAGTTTATTTCTTTTCTTGGTTTGTATTTGTTATATTTATATCTTTTTTCATTTGAGAAAGTTTCTTTCTTTTTGTCTCCAAATTGTTTTCGAAATGCTTGTCCTACTTGTCCTTCTTTGTAAGAGTCATATACTTGTTCTAGTTTATTAAAGAAGTCTTTGTAAGATATTGGTCTTCCTAATAATTGTATTGCAGCTCTGTAATCTTCTGCAGGATGTTTTCTGTTTGGTAATCTTTTATAGATTTGAAATGCTCCTTCTTGGATGCATGTTGTTCCATTATTTGCTTCTTCTCGTAGTCTATAATATTCTTGTTTTAGGTCTAAGAATTCTTCTTCATTTACATATTTAAAGTCAAATATGAATTTAGCAAATATTTTTTGTGCTGTTTCTTGATATTTGTATGTAATATATTTTTCATGTATCCATAGTATTATAGATACTTGTTTGGATAGTGCTCCTCCTGAGTCTGTTATATCAGGTCAGTCTACTTGTAAGTTGCCTTGTCCTGGTTTTATTACTTGGTTGTTGGTTTGTATTACTCTATAATTTACATATAATGTTGTTGGAAAATACTTTGTTATTTTTAACGAGTTTGGGTTTCCTCCTCCTGTTGTTGATTCGTGACAGGAGTCTGGTGGTGTTCTTGCTCTATTATGCCAGTCACTTGGGAATATGCAAGTAAAGTACTCTTCCATTTCAAAGTATACATCTTGGTATATTTTGTTGAATGTTTGTAATACTAATTTTTGCCATAATTGTTTCATATATACAACATTGTATTGTCCTCTGTGTAGGGCATTATTAGCAGGGTCAGCTATTATTGCTACCATATCGTCTATTCTTTGATATCCAGTGTGTTTGCTTCTAGCAAAGAATCCTATTGTTAATAATTCTTTTGATATATAACTTTAGATATTTTTTATAAATATTCTATAGAATTTTGGTCAGTTTTGTCCGTTGAATTTCATTTCTTCTATGACTTTGGTAAAGTCAATTTTTTCTAAAAATGAAAATTTAGTTAATGGTCCTGTAAATGCCATTTTATAATATTACTTTTTCTGGTAGTTTGATTGGTTCTTCGTTTGCATATACACAAAATCTAATATAGTCTTCTAGTTGTAGTCCGTCTGCTTGTAGTAATAATAATAATGCTGTTAGATCTTTTGTTATGTGGCAAGCTATTATTGCTCCTGTTTTTTGGTTTTCTGTTATTGAGCCGTTATGTACTTGTATTAGTGCTTGTTAGATTAATTGTGTACTTCTATTAAATCTATTTGCGTCAAGGTATACTTCTTTGTTGACTTGAATAAATACAGGTTTCACTAGTGTATTCAAGTTTCATGTGAAGATTTTATAATATCTAATATATTTAGTGTAGTGGTAGTTATCAAAGGGGTAATATCGATTTAGTACTTCTCGATAGTTGATTTTCTTGCTCATTTAAGTTGGTATTTTAATTGTATTGTTTTTATTGCGTCTTCTAAGTTTAGGTTAAATTGTTAGGCTATTTCTTGCAGTTTTTCATTTGGTTTATTGGATCGTATTGCACTGATTAAGTAGGTTGCTTTTTCTAGATTCGTTAGTATTACTGGTTTTTTATTAGTATATAATAATTTGATTCTTGAGTAAAATAGTTGTTTAGTTAGATTTAAAGGTTGGTATCTGAATTGGTATTCAGGTTCAGTTGGTTGTAATAAGTCTTCTAAGAGTTTGTCAAAGTCTATTGTATATTCTTTGTCTATAAATTCAATTTTCTTCTTTTGGTTGTTCTGTTTTGATATTTATCGTCTTAATAATAAGGTGTATATGTACTACGATTACGTGAGTAATCAAATATAAGATATAGTATTTTATTGATGTTTCGAATAGTTGTATTAGGTCTGGATTGAGTATTATGAGTATTAATGATCTTTCTGTTATCCACTATATAGTTGCGTTGTAGTTTATTTCAGGTATGAAGTCTTGGATTGTTGTATCCACTTTTAAGTAGTTTTTGGTTGTTGTGGTATATAGGGTTTGTCTTGTAGTATAAGTAATATTCTGTTATACAATAACAGGGTATATTCTTGTATCATGTAGTCTTGGTATACTTCTTCGATTATAATATATGTTATCTTGGTTGTTATAAATAGTATTGCTATTACTATAAATAGTAAGTTAATAGTGCTAGTATAAGTATTTCTGGTTATAAGAGAATTTTAATTGTTGCTCGTTTAATAAGTTGCATTAAGTTATATTGGTCAATGGTACTTGTTGTACTGTTTTAAATAATCTATCTGCTTCTTTTCGTCTTTGTTCAATTATACGTTCATTTTCTAGTACTTTTTTTCGGTAGTTAATATAGTATGTTATAAGTAATATTAATATAATTAGTATTACAGTTACTATGTTTTGAGTTATTTAATATATGTGAAAAAAGAGGTAGTTATTTGACATATACAAAAAAAAGTTAGTCATTTAATATACAAGAAAAAAGTATTAGTTATTTGATACTGAAAAAAAAAGTTAGTTATTTGATATATATAAAAAAAAGTCATTTATTTAATATACATAAAAAAAGAACTAATTATTTGATATGCGTAAAAAGAGTTAGTCATTTGAAATATGCAAAAAGAGTTAGTCATTTGATATATGCAGAAAAAGAATTAGTTATTTAATATATATAAAAAAAAGTCAATTATTTGATACATAAAAAAAGGATCAGTTATTTAACGTATAAAAAAAAATTAGTTATTTGATACATGTAGAAAGAGTCAATTATTTGATATATGTAAAAAAAAGATTAATTATTTGATATATGCAAAAAAAAGATCAGTGATTTGATTCACAAAAAAAGTATCAGTTATTTGATATACAAAAAAAGAGCAGTTATTTGACATTTATAAAAAAAAGTTAGTTATTTGATATACAGAAAAAGAGTCAGTTATTTAATATATGTAAAAAAAAGTTTGTTATTTGCTATATAAAAAAAGAGTTAGTTATTTGATATATGAAAAAAGGGCCAGTTATTTGATATGCGTAAAAAAAAGTTAATCATTTAATACACAGAAAAAGAATTGTTATTTGACATATGAAACAAGAGTCAGTTATTTAATATATGCAAAAAGGATTAGTTATTTAACATATGTGAAAAAGTGTCAATCAATTGATATATATAAAAAAGAGTCAGTTATTTGATGTATAAAAAAATGATCAGTTATTTGACGTGCAAAAAAATTGTCAATCATTTGATATATACAAAAAAAGAATTAGTTATTTAATACACAAAAAAAGGGTCAGTTATTTGATATATATAAAAAAGGAGTCAATTATTTGACATGCAAAAAAAGGGTCAGTTATTTAATATACAAAAAAAGATCAGTTATTTAATATATGAAAAAAAGATCAGTCATTTGATACATGTAAAAAAAGAGTTAATTATTTGATATACAAAAAAAAGTTAGTTATTTGACATGTAGAAAAAGAGTCAGTTATTTGATATACAGAAAAAGAGTCAGTTATTTAACTTGCTGAAAAAGAGTCAGTTATTTGATATGCAAAAAACAGAGTCAGTTATTTAATATATAAAAAAAGAGTCAGTTATTTGATATGCCAAAAAAAGAGTCAATCTTTTAATATATAGAAAAAATATCAGTTTTTGATATACAAAAAAAGAGTCAATTATTTGACATATAAAAAAAAGAGTTAGTTATTTAATATACAGAAAAAGAGTAAATTATTTGATATATAAAAAAAAAGACTTAATTATTTAATACAAGAAAAAAGAATTGCTTATTTAATATGTAAAAAAAGTTTTTTATTTATTATTTAAAAAAAGTTACTAATTTGATATACTAAAAAAAAGTCACTTATTTAATACGCAAAAAAAAAGTCAGTTATTTGATATACAAAAAAAATCAGTTATTTGATGTATGAAAAAAGTCAATCATTTAATGTGCAGAAAAAAGTTAATTATTTGATACACAGAAAAAGTGCTAGTTATTTGATATATAGAAAAAATTAGTTATTTGATACACAAAAAAAAGTCAGCCATTTAATATACAGAAAGGCTCAGAAACACAACAGCATGTACAGGCAACTTGAAAAATATGCTAATGATTATCAATTCAGAAGAAGTAAAAATCAATTAACGATCTAACCAATGATCCATCCAGAATTACGACAAATAACAAAAATCACAAATAAATAGATAAGTGTATCATTATACACGAATAACCACCACAACCCAAAAAAATATTCAACTATAATACCGATATACCAAATATTCAGAAAACTCCAAAAAATTGAAAAATGCTAAATTTAACAAAGAATCAATTTAATTATTTAATTTAACAATTGCGTAGAACAATAGAATTAGAAAGTATAATTAAAAATTAGCTTTTATTATTCAACATTTGAAACATGTACTACTTGAAAAAATATTTAACTACCAAAATTTAACTTAGCTAGAACTTCGTATGTTTTATAATTTTTGAAAAGTTTAACTACCCTAGTATATTCACTTTTGTAGCTAAGTTTGAAACTTAGTACATTTTTATCCCTTAATAACTTACCTTTGAAACTTAGATAGTTTCATAAATTATCCTTCGCATAAAATAGTTATTGAATAACTATCTAACCAATACATACAATTAGAGTATAACGCCTACAGAAATTATATCAAACCGATATATTAAAATGATATAATAATCGTATAACGAATAATCGTAAAGAAATTACCATGAAAAATAAATTTAACTAGCGTATATTCTTATAATAACTTAATATAGATTATTAACAAAATCTGTATAAATATCTACCACTATATTTAATAAATGAAAAACCATTTATAACAATGAAATATTTTGACTTTTATTATCTATTGAAAGTACTTACATGATAAAGAAGTAAACTGGAAGAATATATGAACAGAGGATATTAACCTTTTACTTATGTTTGAACTGATTGATTGATTACCCTGACGAACAGACTGTAATCATTTAATGAAATCAAAGCTTAATAAATTATTTTACAAAACGCATCCTAAGAGATGAAGATAATTATTTATCTTATATTAACACCACTAGCCTTTATAATTTATAACGATCTAGATAACATATTATGACCAAATCTAGAAATACACTGTATAATTACTTTAGAAAAAGAATTACTCTCTCAAAACTGATCTTTGCAACACTTACAAACAATACTTAAACATAGCTATAGAAACCAAAGACAAAAATTCAACAATATGTATTACATAATTTATTGTCCAAAGGAAGTAACACAATTAAGAAAACCTTGGAAAAATAGTTGTTTAGTTAGATTTAAAGGTTGGTATCTGAATTGGTATTCAGGTTCAGTTGGTTGTAATAAGTCTTCT